AAAACAAGGGTTTTAGAACAACCCCGATATAAAGATGATCGGCGTTGCGAATCCTATATCGATCCTATATCAAAAGACTCCTCTCCGTGCTACCCTGAAAGCCACCTGGAATGAAGTAAAGTGGGACTGATTTGATATAGAATTGAAATGGAAACCCTCAACATGATCGTTCATAATGATCCAAGTTCTCCGCATGCTCCGCACGGGATCGCGCAATTTTCGTCGATTTGGGTGAAGACAAATCGACAAAATTTCGAGGATGCTCCGCACGGGAGCGCGATTTTTGAAGATATAAAGATGATCAAAACGAAAAAGCGCAATGTTTGAGTTAGCTAAGAATGGAATTGTGAGGACGTCCCGCACGGGAGCGCAATTTTCATAAATCCAAGCGCGACCGGTTCGGAGACAGACCCCTCTAGCAAGACTACTTTGAAGGCAGAGTGACCTATTTTTTAGATCGCAAGTCAACATAAAACGACGATCTTTTGAGGATGTTTCGAGCGAGACCGCAATTTTGAGGCGAAGATAAGCGCATCCCAAATGTTTGCGTGACGGAAGAGCACGCAGGCAAGGCGTGCGACAGTGCAGCAAAACAACTAGAACCCCACAGTGCACGTGGGAAACGAGGGGACCCCAACATAGACCCCAAATGCTCTCATATTCATTCTAGAGACCACCCTAAAAGGCACCCCTACTTTGGGGAAACTCCCATATATGTGTATACATGTATATATCTATAACTATAAATAGATAAAATGTATCTATATATAAACATGTATATATATATATCTATATATATAGAGCCTTGGGACGGCCTCCAGGGCATCTTGCACGAGACCTTCGAGCAGACCTGAGGCCCGAGCGGCCTTCCTGGACTGCTGTTCAGAAACTTTAACTTAAGTTACCTTAATATAGGGTTTAGGGGTTACCGTAATATAGGGTTTATAGAGGGTTTTTGTAGGGTTTATATAGGGATAGTGGAAAAAATGGAAACTACTGTTTAGGGTCTGGAGTTTCGGAACTTAATTCATTTTAGGCTTTCTATAGGGAAAGTGGAAAAGAAAATGGAAACTACTTTAATGGGTTATATTGTGGTTATATAGGGTTTTTAGAGAGGTTACATAAGGATAATGGAAAGTAAGCTGGAAACTACTGTTTAGGGTCTAGAGTTTAGGAACTGAATTTAAGTTACCATATTCTCCACCTATAATGGAGAATCAGAATATAGGGGCTTAAGGAAACTAATTTTAGTTGCTATATTGGGCAACCATACGAGTTACTATATATACCCATTATGTCAACGTAGTTTCAGTTCCTTAAACGCAACCAAGCTTCAGGAGCCGCTGGGCTCTCTTGGAAGGCCCAGGAACCTTTGGCTAGCTGGGAATGAAGGAATAGAAAAGAAAATGGAAACTACTAGAATGGGTTATATACGGCTTTATAAGGATTATTTAGGGAGAATGGAAAAGAAAGCGGAAACTACGTTAATGGGTTATATGGGGTGTAGCGTTGAGAAGGAGCGGAAAGGAAAATGGAAACTACTATAATGGGTTATATAAGGTTTAGGGTTGGGAAGGAATGGCACAGAACATGGAAACTACTATAACGAGCTATATAGGGACTACTATAAGGATAGCTAATTAAAGGCAAGGGAAGGGCCCAGGCACAATGGATGATCTACAGAAGGCCGGCAAGTAGATGTAGATATCCAGGACGCCTCTTGCAGGGCTTTGCTCTTGGTTTCAGCTTTGAATGCAGGAGCAGAGACCTTTACATAGGACCTTTATATAGGGATTATACTCGCACACTCACTACTATGACCGCAATACATACCCTACTAGACAAAAAATAGTAGTTTCCAATTTCCTTTCGATGATTCGTAAGAACCAATCAATCAGTCACTAACTCTACAGCGCCTACCTGCTCAAGGGCGCCTACCCCATAAGCCCTAACCCTACACCCGAAACCCACCTCCTGCAGATTCTGTCTGTAAGTCAACGCAGCTTCTGCAGTCTGCGGCATCGATCGCCTCCAGAACCTTCTCCTGAGCCTAGCCAGCCCATACACGGGTTTAGGGTGGAGGGTTCAGGGTTTAAGGTTGAATTTAGGGCTTCCTCAAAAACATGCATGGAACTCATCTGAGCTGTAGTCTGCACTCCTAGCATTCAAAATTTCCCCTGCAGCAGTCCCCTATATAATCCCCTGTCTAACAATAATAATGCTGACACAAATCATAACCAATAAAAACAGTGATAATAACAATAACAATAGCAATAATGGAAATAATATCACAATATAGCAATAATAATGACAATAACGATACCAGTGACCATAAAACATAAGCAAAATAAGTATAACACTCAGAATCACTCAGAATACCAGAAACACGAATCAAACGGAACTCATGTGCAGCCATAGTCTAAACTCCTAGTATCCCCCTTAATAAGCCCTATGGTAGTCCCCTAAATAATCCCTATATAACCACCCTTTAAGGAGTTTAGATTACAGCTCATGTGCAGCCGGTTGCCTCTGCGAGGTGCAAGGTCTGCAACAGAGCCTGGCATCTGGAGAGGGACCCCCAAAAAGGCACCCTAAATTTGAGAAACCCCCCATATCTCTAAGGGATTTGGAACCC